AGAAACGTCTAGTGATGATGAATAAAAACAAGAATAAAACTAATTTCGAAAAAATTATAAGGATTGAGGACTTGATCTGCAATAAATGACCCATTTCATTAAGGGTAAAACTGGCTTTTTAACAAAAATCTTAAAAAGCCACTATTCACATGCTATTTTGAATATTCCCCCATTTAACTGCCCAATTAGGAAAATTTGAGAATATTCCAAAAGTGTCAAAATCTTAGAAGGTAGTGTCCTGTGGGTCTAGAATACTGTTTAACTCGTGCCGTGTTACGCGATACACTTTGATTTCCATAACCAAGTTTCAACAATATCCCCAAAAAAGTAAAAGAGCAATGTTTGAAATCTAGAATTTGAAAAAAAAGGTTCGATCGAATTTTAATTAATAATAAAAATTAAAATATGAAAGGAAGATAAAAATTTTTTAGATGAACTAGCCATTTCTTGAATTACTTAATAGTTTCAAATTTTGCAATTTTTTCACACAATAGTTTCAGTTATTAAGATTTGGTCCCAATATCACCAAAAATGGTAAAAAAAATAAAAACTACAATCCAAATATCCATTTGAAAAAGGTAAAAGGTCAAGAGCTAAATGACTAGGTCGAGGTCGAATTAGTAAGATTATAAATGTATAATTTTTAATTTTTTTTAAAACAAGCACTTATTTAGCAGGAAATTGTTTAAACTTATCGAAACAAGTTAAAGATATGTGTTTGAGCCACATTATTTTGGAAAAGTGTATTTTTGAATAGTAGATTGATGGAGAATGTTTGGTTAAAAAAAAAGGAAAAATTATTGATGTGATGAAAAATATTATTTTATTGAAAAATGTGTAGTTGAAAATGGTAGAAGAATGATAATGAAAATTTTAACGTGACTCAAATAAAAGCATAAAGATAAATTTCTCAAACTATAGTTCATAATAATTTCTAACTCAAAACAAGAAGTAAATTGTACATTAACATGGTAACACATAAACCACGCACCTATTACATGATGTAACAAGAAGTAAATTGTAAGACACATTTCGCGATTTACCTTATCCAGAATGTTCTAGAGACGGAACGGTAGGAGACTCTCAAAGTTGAACCCCAAGAAGTAAATTGCACATTTAGAGTTTGTATGGGAGAGATTAAAATCAGATTAAAATTGAAAATATAGTCGTTATTGTTGACTTTTATTAGACGGGTGGGACCCAATAACGATCATATTTTCAATTTTAATTGGATTTTAAGTGCTTCTGAACGGGCCTTAATATTGATGTCAAGAAGAAGTTTGAACTTACAAGCAACCACCTTTCGACTGTTACATTTTTCAAATGGATTTTGCTATTGGTACATAGCAAATTACATAACCTTTAACATAATGGGCAAATGGCAGCTTTTCATTGGGGGATGCGCCTGGCCCTGCCAATTTGGACACGTAACGACTAAACCATCCCCACACACATTCTCTGTCTAAAGAGAAAGCAGATGGCACACGCAAGAATGCCAGTCTTCAAAGTTTCAATAGTGCATCCAAGCAAAGAAAAAGAAACAAACCCAAGGTGGAAAAGAAAAGGCAAAATTTGCTCAAAAAAGCTTGGAGGACTCACTAGGCTATATGCTTTTGCTTGCTCGCTCTCTAAAACTCTCTGGAATTGTGAAAGATCTGGAGCTTCTGGCTTCTCTATCTCTCTAGATCCCTCTCTCTTTCTCTAGGTTTCTGGGATGGGCACTTTGATTGTAACTCCAGTGCTCCCATCAAACCTAAAGTCTTCTTCACTCAAACAAGAAAATAATTCTATCTTGGTGTACAGAACAAGAAGAAGAAGAGGCAAGAAGAACCATTCTATAGTTCCAGTAACTCCTCTCTCTCCCTCTCTCTCTCTCTCTCTCGCTATATATATATATATATATATATATATAGAAAATTACTTTTTTGATTAATTACAGTGTTCTGTAGTCTGTTTTATTTGATTTGATTTTTGAGAATGGTTTTCTTTTTTTCTGGAAAAATATTCAAATGGATTCAAGTAGAGTTTTTCGAAGCATATGAATCAACTTACTGCAAGTTGTATCATGTCATAAATAAACTCGAAGAAATCTCTCTCTTGCAACTAACATAGTCTTACTCTACTTGAAAGTACTATGAGGTGCTTGAAAATAAGTTTGTTTTATTTCTATTCGCTTGAGCTTTTAGATCATCTGGTGTAGCACTATCGTAAGTCAAGCCTTTGATGTGAAGGAATCTAGACATACGCATACAGGGGTGTGTTGAAGATGAATATACACTAATAAATGAGTACTTCGTTTTCAGACGAGGTGGTCTAACATGTTCGTTTGTCTCTTACATACAGATCTGTATATATTTTAGTAATTTTTGTGTGTTCTGGGTTTTGGATCAGGTGGCTAGATTATTTGGACCAGCAATATTTGAGGCATCAAAATTGAAGGTATTGTTCTTAGGAGTTGATGAGAAGAAGCATCCAGGGAAGCTTCCAAGAACGTATACACTTACACATAGTGATATAACCTCTAAGCTCACTCTTGCCATCTCCCAAACTATAAACAATTCCCAGGTAATTAAAAACATCAACAGAAGAGTTTTTTTTTTTTTTTTTAAATTAAAGACTGGTAATTATTTAAGGAATTTTGGTATTTTGAATAAAAAACAGAGAAAAACAGGGGTTTTGAAAGTCAAATTTGTTTGCTGTAATCTTTTTGCTTATTTCAGAAAAAGAAAAGTTTACAACTTGGAGTGTTCTAGAGGAGAAAAAATGAGTGGACCGTGTGAATTAGGCATGTTTGCCTAGGCGTGTTTAGACTTCAGCTTGGTCTGACACGTGGGCTTTATTTAGGCATGTTGAGCCGTCCCTAGGCGTGTTTATGTCATGTATGTATGGGGCCCAGAAACCACATTCCCTTACCCTATACATTGGGGTTTCAGAGTTAAAAAGTTCATATAAAATTATTGGCCCACACTCATGTGCGAAACGTGGACTTAGCCGGTCCACATTAATATTTTCATTTTAATTTTTCTAATCATTTTTAGCCACATATTTTTCAATAAAATAATATTTTTCACCACATCAATAACTTTTTTTTTCAACCATATGTTCATCATCCATCACATCAACAAAATGCATTATTCTACCCAAAATGTGCACCAAACTGGGGCTTAGACACTTTCTTGTGGATCATGAGACACCAATACTTGTCCTAATAGCTCGCTCGGGATTGAAATACGTCATCTTATCTTACTTTATTCTACTAGTTGGACCATATTTATGGCTACGTGAGAAACTGGGATTTTGGTTGCAGTTACAAGGGTGGTACAATAGACTACAGAGAGATGAAGTGGTGGCAGAGTGGAAGAAAATCAAAGAAAAAATGTCTCTTCATGTTCATTGTCACATAAGTGGTGGCCATTTCTTATTAGATCTCTGTGCTAGGCTCAGATTCTACATCTTTTCCAAGGAACTCCCCGTGGTAAGCTCTCCCCTATTTATTACGATTAAGTGTTACATTTAGTTTATGTGATGAAATACAATGTTAATTAGAGTTGTCGGCTTTATAACTCGTCGTTGGAAGTAATTTGAGATATTTGGCTTGTTTGCTTATCTCAACGAATGTGAAGTGTAATAGTGAGCATCATATTTGGTCCATAGAATGTTAAGGAAAGGTATTTTATGCTCTATGGACATGAAATCCACATCAAGCTTCGGAAAAAAATTACAGCGCGGTATTCAACTTGTGTGAAATGTAAGAAGTAGGTTTTCAATCTTTATTCGTCGACCTTTTAATATTGTGAAATGGGATCAGGTATTAAAGGCATTTGTTCATGGGGATGAAAGCTTATTTGATAACCATCCAGACCTACAAGAGGCATTGGTTTGGGTATATTTCCATTCCAACATACCAGAATTCAACAAGATGGAGTGTTGGGGCCCACTCAAAGAGGCATCATCTCCTTCTACTGGGGCCTACAACATTTATGATGATCATAATCCCCATCCATGCCAGGAGGCTTGCAATTGTTGTTTCCCACCAATGAGTTTGATTCCATGGGCTCAAAACTTTTCTGGTGAGAGTGAGATTGGTGGGATCAGCCTCAATGGCATACAACAGAAGCAGCAGAATTTTGTCTCTGGTGATGGTTCTTGATATCTCATTCATTTGCATTTTTAAAATGTGTGTAAATACAAGTGGTAATCTATCCATTGTGACCTTGTAGCTGTACCGGATTGAATACGATTAAGAAAAGTACTGGACAAAATATGTAATTGTCATGTCCATTACAATTTCTCCGTTGCATTTATAAATTTCTATAGACGACAATTTAATGTACCAAACATGTATTTTTATTTGATTATTCTTGCTAAAACATAGCTTAAGGAAAAATATTGTTGTAGGAATGCTATGTATGATTTGTATTCAAGATTATTGTCATGTAATATCTCCATTCTACAATTATTAGTGGTACACATTAGCCTTACTAATAATATCAAAATTTCTTGAATATCCTTTAATATTTGCGAAATTGTTATGAAGTTTGTTTATTTTCTATTTTGGAAAACGTTTCTCTCATAAATTTATTCAGACAATTCCCTGTTTGAACTCTTAATTAGCTCAAGTTTTATGGTCATTATTTTGAGAATGAATTTTTTAAGAATGTCTATTTAAAAAATAAGAAAATAATATTGGATTTACATATAAAATATTTTCTCGTGTAGTTGAAAATGAGTGAAAATTAAAGATTTTTCAAATAATGGTTTTCAAACGGGGACTAAAAGTTTTAATTGTGTTTGAAATTCTTTATTTTTGCTCGTTATAGCACTTATGTCTCTAATGACTTTTCATATCATTCTTATCCTCAAAATTTTCATTAATTAAAACATTTTGTATTTAATAACAGTTTTATGTACAAAAGTATGTTGAAATAGCATAAAACAACTTTTTTTTGGTGGTATTTAAAAAAAAATGGGAAAAAATATTTTTCCCTCGTTTCAAAATATGAAAGCAATTTTTTTTTATATGAATCATCCTCAAGAACTGAACATGCTAATTAAATGGAATTAATTACTACAATGAACAAAAAGTGAGAAACTTATGTGCAATTAAAGTGTGGTGTATCAAACAAAAATTTCTTTGGATCTCTGAGTCAGATGAGGACTACTACTTGAGAAGCCACGTCGCTACGACCTCTGTCCAGTTGTCGCTGCTACGACCTCTGTCCAGCAGCTTCGGCGTTGCTGTATCACCGTCCTCTTCGCGTGTTCTCTGATCTGTGGGTAGAGTAAGAAGGCTGATGGTTAGGGGGTTCTAATATGTGGTTTTGATGGTTGAAAAATAATAATACGATTTCCTCAAAGTTTGGAATGCAAAATATTTATCAATTTGTTGGCTGGTTTAACAATCTCAAGTCTCTTCGCATTAATATTCGTCGGCAGGTCAAACTAAACTTTAATGCTCTTATTTCCAACCTTCTTCACTTTCTCTTTCCATATTCCTCTATCATCTCTCACTTACAAGAACTAGTCAGAAGCATGTGCATTGCACGTGCTATGATGTAGTTGAGTACGTAATAGCATAAGTATTAAAAACAAATATCTATGTCAAATATTAGTTACATAAAATTTTCTTATAAGTTACTAAATGTTTCGAGGCAACATTAAATGTGGAGATAAAAAAATCACACCCACAGTTATTGAAGAAATCGAGGCTCACCTTCCACCACAGCCTCCAGTTATCGAAAAATGTCTTCT